GAAGACGCATTAGGATAGCGAAAGATATTTTCCAAAAGCTAAGCAAAGTATTAAGAAACAGGAAAATTTCACTAGGAACAAAGAAAAGAGTGCTGAACTATTATGTAATAACAGAAGAGACTTGTGGCAACCGAAATTTAGTCCTACAGAAGGATGCTGAGAATACCACGGATTGAACATGTGAGTAATGTCGAACTTTTAGAGAAATTGACAAAAATGACATTTATACATAGCATCAGAAAATTCTAGGTCACATAATGGGGAAAGAGGGCTTGGAAAATCGGACACTCACAGGACATATTGGAATCAAGAGGGACAGAGGAAAGAGGCGCATAACCTCCCTAACGAGCTTGTGTAAATGGTTGTCAGAGCAGGGTTTAGGAGATATGGCAAAAATATAAACATTACTAAGGGCTACAAAAGACAGGAAATTGTGAAGAGCCATGATCCCACACGTCCTGAAGGGACACGGCACATAGAAGAATTGTAAATGGTGTGTACGTTGCTGCGATGTAGATGCATTTTCAATTCCAAATAACCATTTCAGCCAACATGAAAACTTACGACTTCGCTATTCAATATAATACTAGGGAACAAATTTCAAATGTTTGTCTCTTGAATTAGATTCGATCTATGTAATTTGGGTGCGCTGAACAGAATTGACTTGATTTTGCTCTATCAGGTCTTGATTTTGCTCAACACCCGTCGCTTTCGTCGTATTCAGAAAAAGTTGGGTTTTTACTCAATACTCGCTAAGTCTTTTTGTTTTGTTTACAGATTATGCAACTAGTTTTTTTTTTTTTTATCTAGGTATTTGTATCTGTTGTTATGGTATTGTTGTATTGTATACTTTTATATGTACCACTTGAAAAATATTGTTAATTTGTCATTTTTAATCCATTTTAATATTAGTAAATTAAGCTAAAGATATAGAATTCTAGAATTTTCTAGAGTCTCTGTTTTCTGTAAAATTTTCTAGAGGGACAATATATAAAAATATATAAAAGTGTCTCGATCCGGCCAATTCATACCTGTTTATTTGTTTTTGTTATGATGTTGATTTGGGGTTAATAAGACAGACGCCAAATAACACGTAACAATAAAAAGGGGTTTATTCGGTTGGTAAGTAGGTACAGAAATCGCCTGAGTAGTCTATAACTAGCTCAGCCAAGAACTTCTCCGACTCTGTCTGTCTTTTGATATGCCACTATTTAACGTCTTTGTTTGTAGACAAGTTCATCTTCAAGAGGGGAGGTAGGTTTCCTACACAACAGTTTTTGATTTTAATTCAATTAAGTTTGGGTATTAACATAATTTTGAATTGGCATATGATTTAGCGAGTAATTTTGTCATCGTGATTTAATAGTTAATTTAATTAGACGTAATTTATATCGTATCTACTCATCCGTGTTTCTCTTTTAATTTCATAGATTGTAAGTATCTATCTTATACTAAGTTCCTTTTTTTAAACAATTTTTGCGTTTATATTTCAGGTTTTTTTTTTTTTAATTTATATAAAATAAGGGTTTTTAATACCAAACACTGCAAAGTTCAAATACAAAATCAACCTTGATTCCTTTTGTTTTATATGTGGAAATTTAACACTTCCATATCAACAAACAAATATAACTTCGTAAAAAAATGACACAGTGAAAGCTTTATATTTGTTTGTTTGTTTTTTACTTTAAGTCATTTCTATCGTTATAATGTAATTTTACTGTAGTTTGAACTGCTTAAATTCATGGAACTTCAAAAATATACCATTCGAAAAATATTTTTAATTTGTCATTTTAACATTTTTATTTTAACATATGACTGTACCTAGAATCAAGAGTCAGATATCATTCAATAGAATACGTATTCCCCTGTGAATCGTCGATTTCTTTCCCTATCATTTATCATTCAAACATTTTTAATGTTTACCGATAATTCTATGTATTTCTTCTTTATTCTTATTTATTGATTGTAGTAAAGTAACATTTTTATTATGGACGAGGGCGTATTTTCAGAATTGTAGAAAAAGTGTTTCGTAACGTTGTTTTCTTTTGTTTATTATTATTATTATTGGTTCAGAATAGACAATTTCTTTCATTATATTTCATCTTTCAAATACAGCGTAACCTCGGTTCTCGAACATATCACATGTTGAACAAATCGGTTTTCGAACAGAAAATTCGAGATGAAAATGTCCCGGTTATCGAACAAAATTTCGGTTATCGAACAACAGCCGAACCGAATTAACCCGAACGTAATCATTTTTGAATTGACCGCCGTGTTGTATATATTCGTGTGTTGTGGCGTGCTTTTCTTTTTCAATTTTATTGTACTGATACATTTTTTTTCTCTACATTTATTCCTATTGGAAAAATAGTTTCGGTTTACGAACATTTCCGGTTACGAACGACATTCAGGAACGAATTAAATTCGTTAAAAGAGGTTCCACCGTATTTTTAATAACAAGAATAATAAAAAAAATGTTCTCATATATTTGATGATAATTTTATACTTTATAATTTTCTAATTTATTGTTTGGTTATTAAAGTAATAACAATAACGTGATACTTTTGATGTCGAACTATTCACTCCGACATTCAGTGTAAAATATGTGTTTATGCATGTATGCTTATATGTGTTTACATTTGATGGTTGCTCCTTGTCGTGGTGGAGGTTTGGTTTGGTTTGGTTTGGTTTGGTTTGGTTTGGTTTCTTTGCTTTTACGGCATATCAACCTCAATGGGTTATTTAATGCCGACAAGATTTTTATTGCTGGTTATATTTTTTCTAAAAAAAAGTATTGCTCGTATTAAAACTTATTTTTATACTTTAATAGTGTTTTGACCCCTTTGGTGGGGTAACTATTTGCCCATTGCTGGGACCCTAACAGGCGCTACCACCCCTGGTCAGTGTGTGGACCTGGAAACACCAGCAATTAAGAGGTGGTTCCACGCTCCTCAAAACTTCCTGATCAGGAGCCTTGCTGTCGGACGTAATTTATTGTCTTACCCAGGGCGCAGATGTAGTTAATCGTCATACCCAGAACGGTCGTGGTGGAGGGACTTGCGTCGTTAAATGACTCTGGGGACGATGTCGTCGGGGGTTCCAAACTCTTGATAAGGCCACCATTGGCGCGAAGGTCGAAGACGAGGACCCAGACTAAGCGCGACCAACCCCAAAGATACCAAAGGTGGAACAAGTGGACGACGATTACAATCGATCTCAATGGTTGAAACAGCGGATGAAGAGGGCTACGCATGACGGACATGCTACAGAAGGCGTCACTCGAAATTATTGCAGCTTCATAACTTGATTTTGTCTATATCATTCTATATATCCCACATATTCTATATCAAATGAGTGGGTCACTTTCTGGAAAGTTGAGGTCCACCTTAAACAAATTCACGTCATTGGAACTTTCTTCTACTCTGATTTATATATATATATATATATATATATATATATATATATCAACGATTAAGAACATTAACTACGAACACCGCCATTAACTTGTATAGGGGAAAGCGTGAAGAAAAGACCAAACATCGATTACAAAAAACAGGGCGTACGGTTATCAGTAAAAAAAATAGTCCCCAATGCGAATTACAAATTAGTTGTAAATTTCATAACAATTTCGACTTTTCGACTTTATTTTACACGATTTTTCACACGATAAAAAGCGCAACGTTCTTTTAAATAAGACGGTTACTCTATGGGAATAAAATTAGGAGGTAAAAAATGCATGTTATAAGGATATGTAGGATAGATAACGACTGATTTGACTGAGGTTAAGATCGTAGTGATCGAAGAAGCATACTTTCGGAAGTCTATTCCACAGGGTTACATTTCTGGTAGGGGAGTAGAACTTCCTCTTTACAAATGGAATACGAACTTACACACCATTGGCAATAACACGATCAAGACTCTTGAAAAGATAGTGTGAGCTCTCTTCATTGCGCAAATTCGTCTTGTATTATTGTCAATATATTTTTCTCTGCGTTCAAGCCCAGCACAATTTTGAAGATGATATGATCAACCACTGATTGTGTTAGTAGTTTTTTTTAGTTTCGTAAGCCCGTGGTTACACTGCCTTTGTTAGACGTTTTAAAAAAAAATATCTCAAAGCCAGTAATTCTAGACCATAATGCACTACTACTGCATGTCTCCTGCTGCCGCTGTCACCGTAATGGAGAGAGGCTAGAAAATCTCTTCTAAATAGCTCGGCGCAATCAGCCGAGCGGCACTTAAAATTGCAGACAGGTTTGCAATACAAGCTATTAAATGGGTTTAGTGCTCCCAGTTGGGCTGTAATTTGACAACAGAATCTCATTCACTACCGTCAATAATATCTGAAACAAACTGGACCTAGCGCAATCATTCTCCGTAATTAATAGCAAAGACTTTTCCGTTTAACTCTTGATAAGTTCAGGCTGGATCTTTGCAATTAAAAAAAGAAAGTTTGTTTTTTAATACATAAAAATAAGTGCCACTAAACCAATTTCACATAGCAAATTCCACATAGCAAATTCTTCTTCTTCTATGTACCGTATCCCTACAGTACGTGGGCGATTAAGGTTCTCCACAATTTCCTGTCTTTGTAACTTTTAGTGAATTTTGTCTTTTTGCCTATGTCTGTATTTTCTTAGACGATCACTAAATACATCTTTTTCTGTCTCGGCATTTTCCCAAGACCTCCCCACAAGGCCGTTTTTTTTAGCGTGGGGCGATTCCGAGCTCGTAGGCTCGGGCAAAAATTGCCCGTATACCCCGTATATACGGCTGTCTACATCACCAAACGAGACTGTGCGCTCCGGCATAGCCTTGTCTGGGTTCCTCTCTACCAGGAAGCAAAAAGGCCGACAAACAGAACAACAGCAAACACAGAGGTTTTACTGGCTCCCATAATCCTACGTTCCTTTCTCACATTTATATCTGAGCGGGTAAGTACACCACGTCGTTCGGGGTATAATACTGCTAATCCCTGTTATGTTGACTTTTTATTCAAGCTCCTCAGGTAGTTAATTTTATCTATCTATCTATCTATCTATCTATCTATCTCTATATATATATTGTTACAGTTTTTTGTGTATATATAAGTATAACTAGTGAGCGAGTCAAAATGAGTTAACTCCCTTTATAGTCCACCAATAGAAGGTTAACCAATCAGAAGCCGCAGAACATTGTATCCGTCGTGTATAAAGGCGGCCATTTTTGTTTACCCTACCCGAATGACCAGTGCCAACTTGTCCGGCGAAGATGACAGAAGGAAGAACTACGCTCTGCTACTTTGCTGCGATATCCACTGCTAACCTGAACTACGCTTTCCTACTGTCTCCGAAATATTCACTGCTAACCTCTGGATTCTATACTCGAAGACGAACGTCATGAATTTATAACATATATATATAATGGACTCTCCTGTCGGTTTCGGAATCTGACAACTTAACCAATTGATTCAGTTATGAGTTTTGTGCGATAATCTTAAGTGATACTTAAGACCCGCTAGTGATTTGCAAAGAAGGCCGCACAGAGAGCAAGAGTGTGGATTGTGGGATGATGTCACCTTTAGATTGGCTGACCTTTTAGGTTTTGCTCTCGCTTCTTGAAGACGATTCAGATTGAAAACCGCTGAGTCCACTGAAACACGTTGATCTTCATTCTACCCGCTCTAAGGCTAAGCGCTCAAGGGTGTTATGTGGTATATTGACCGCTGACAAGTTGCTTTTCAGCTTGTCTTTGTATCTAAGCCATGGGCTTCCTACATTCCTGTAGTCCTGATCTAACTGGCTGTACATTAGGATCTTGAGTATCCTGTCATCAGACATTCTCAAGACATGACCAGTCCACCGCGACTGAGACTTTATGAGGAAAGTCTCGAGTCCACCAATATTACACCTGTTACACAGGTCTACATTGGATGTCCTGTCTTGAAAGCTAACGCCACAGATGGTTACGCAGGCAGATCTTATAGAAAACATCCAGCTGGCATATATGGGACCTGTATGGAGTCCACGAGTCTGAGCCGTACAAAAGGATGGCAAGGACAACAGCTCTGTAAATCTGAATTTTCGTATCCAGTCGGACACTTCGCTCATACCAATAATATATATATATATATATATATATATATATATATATATATAGTCTGTTTTCTATCTGTCTAATCGATTCCTATCTATCAATCTTAATCTGTTCAACGATGTAGCTACCTATCGTTCAGTTTGCTCCCATATATATAGCTACGACGTTGACCAAACTATATATACAGTGTAACCCGGATATAAGAAAGTTGTCGGGACCGGAGAAGAAGTCTCTTATATCCGGGTTTCTCTTATATCCGGGTTTGGTCTATTTTATATACATTAACACAGGCTCTAATTTGGGACCAGATAAAATCTCTCTTTTATCCGGGTTTCTCTTATATCCGGGTTTCTCTTATATCCGGGTTACACTGTACATTTACTCTAGTCAAATTCGCTTCAAAATTAGGTCTTCAAAGGTCGCAAGACACGCGAGTATATATATATATATATATATATATATAAGATGTTAAAAATCACTTCGATCTGAAATATGCTATACTTATAAAATCAGCAAACAACATAGATGAAAAGATCTTGAATGTGCAATTATTGATTCAATTATTTTCAAATATATCCTTTCTTAAAGAAATTCTCTTTTCTCAAGCCTACATAATTATGTACAACCATAAAGTTTTTAAAGAAACCGATTAACTCACGACATATTAAAATTAAAAATAAATTAATTACTAAAATAAATAAGCTAAAATGCATAAAAATAAATAATAATTAGATATAAAAATATCAAAAAATAGATTAACCCACTTTCGTTTAATAGGACGAAAAATTATGCTGCTTAGCGTCCTCCATAGTTTAACCACAAATTTCGAGAATATTTTAGAACGTTTCTCTAATACATGTTTTTTTTTCTCTGGGTTAATTCTGGTTAGAAATACAGGTTACTAAATAAATGTTTTCTTGAGGAATTTCATGTAGGCAACTTCATAAAATTCAAGGAAAAAACGCGTCAGTATAAAAGGTCTTCCTTCTAACTTTTACTATATATATATATATATATATATATATGTATGTGTGTGTGTGTGTGTGTGTGTGTGTGTGTGTGTGTGTGTGTGTGTGTGTGTGAAAATATATAGAAAATAGGAAAGAACTCGTTAGGTAAATAATCCAAAATTCTTTAGTATTTTTGTTATTATTTTAAAAAACAGTGCTCGATACAGAAGTAGAGCCTAAATATAATTATTTATTTAAAAATATGATTCCAACGCTGCATAAGAGTTCCCATGTTTCAAAACAAGAGCTGAAAACTTCAATATAATTATTTGAATTAAATTGAATTAAAGTACCAAGCTCTGTTCCATCTTCAAGCGAAATTTTTTTTGAATCAAAAATCAAAAAAAAAGATGGAACAGAGCTTGGTACTTTAATTCAATTTAATTCAAAATAATTATATTTTTAAATAAATATATATATATATATATATATATATATATATATATATATATATATAGTTAATTACCCGTCTCCCGGTGATGTGACACAAGGTCGGATTTAATGTGGGACAACCAAAGCGCGTATACTCAGGCCAGGGTAAAAAAAAATTGCCTTCAACCGACGGCTAAGCTAGCGTCGATATTAGTACCGATGCCCTCTCCATTGCAATGTGGGGTTACTGCCAAGGGCATCTATACCCGGGATTGGGCATCTATTTTTCCCAGGAGAGACACAACTGAGTTGCACTCCGCCCGAAGACAAAGACGCAAATAAGAGATGATATTCGTTACCTGCCAGTAAGTATATATATATATATATATATATATATATATATATATATATATATATATATATATATATATATATATATATATATATATATATATATATATATATACTTTCCTTTCAGGATTTACAGGCTGTTTCATGTTAGGCGCAATCGTTAGGCATGAAACAGTCTGTCGCCTCTGAGTGTTGACTTCAATGTACACTTTTATATCTATATTTACATACGCTCTATCTTTTATATTGAGCACTTTATCCCATAAATATAGAACACTTTAAAACTATATTTCTTCATATATATATATATATATATATATATATATATATATATAGTCTTCCACAGACAGACTGTTTCAGTGTGGTTAGACGTCCGATTGCTTGAAGCCTATTTAATATCAGTCAGAGATTCTACCCCTACGCCATCGTCGCACGTCAGATAGGAAGGGAAACGTTTTCTATGCCAAATACGTCAGTGGCCTGGAGAGCTCAATTCAATTCGGTTGAAGAGCAATGCGTTAATAGTGGTATTAGCCACTGCTTTTTAAAATTACCCTTTTCTCAAGAGAGCTCAACCGGATTTCCCGGGAGCAGATATATTATCATCCACAAACAGACTGTTTCGCTATATCACATCTCTTCAGTGTGGCTAGAAATCCGATTGCTTCAAGCCGGGATCGAAACTCGACCGATTTGGTATCAGTCAGAGATTCTACCACAAGGCTAAAGGGAAATTTTTAACGTTTTCTATGTGAAATACGTCAATGGCCCGACGGGCTCAATTCAATTTGGTTGAAGAGCAATGCGTTAATAGCAATATGAGCCACTATTTTGTGTGTATGTGTGTGTTTGTTTTTGCGTGTGTGTGTGTGTGAGAGAGTGTGTTTGTGTGTGCTTAAAAAGTATAATTTTTATTATCGTTATAATAAAAAATGCTATTTTGATGTGCAATATTAAATGTCTTTTATATGTATTTCAATATATACATATAAATGGAATATACAAATCATATATAAAATATATATGCTTACATATATAAAATTTTTAAACATAAAAATATTAATTTTATTTCTGGTTAATCACATCAGTTTATCAAGACGATATTTTATCTATCTTGGTCTGTATCTATCTAGTTATACATATATATATATATATATATATATATATATATATATATATATATATATATATATATATATATATATATATATATCGCACGTATAGTGCTGGTGTTAACAAAACAGTAGTCGATGTAATACAACAGAACATTTAAGTATATATTAATAAATATACCTTATTTTCCCTCACCGATATAGTAACTCAACCTATACCCAGCATCTGAAGACTGCGTTGTGCAGTCTTCAGATGCTGGGCATAGGTTGGCCTTTACGTAATTTAAATTTTATTAAAAATATCGGGTTAAGTATAAAGGGAGATTACTGGGGGTTTTTTTGTTTTGTTTTTTTAATCTGTAATTTACATTAAAATTAATCTGGAGCAACGTATTTAAGCAGATATTTATTTTTATACCAACATGTAACCATCAATTCATTTCTCTTGTTTAATAAACTAGTGTTATAAAGATAACTAATTTTTCAACAAGACATAAATTACATCTATTTTCTTTCCCGTTGAAAGTTTTGGCTCTTGCTTTGATATCCCAGGTGATCAAAGGTGTATTACCGCCATTTATTAATTGCCAGAAATATTTACAGAGCTGTACTTTTTTTTTTTATTTTACATTGCCTAAAGTTATTCGATGATGTTAGAAACGAAATTCCCAAGGATTTTCAGTAGAACTAAAATAAAATTTAACATCGTTACTAGAATGTATTCTAGCTCAGTATACAATATTATCAGCCATATATTGACCGTTTAACTGACAGGTCGTATTTTTTCGGCAGTTGCATTTATTTAAAAAAAAATTAACGTTGTCTTTGTTGGAAATATCTTTATTTAATATAATGTTGTTATGTTGGGATATAGATTTATCGATATCACTAACGCAGCTATTGCTAATCTTAACATTATTTTTGTTAAAAATCTTTTTAGTGCTGGTGAATGAAGTGCTTATGAATTAAATTTAGGAAAATTCTTCCGATATTAATTTGAACATTACAATTAAATGTGGATTAAACCTTATAATGTTAAGCTTACAGTGTTTCTGTTTATTTCTACTGTCTTTGCTTCTCTCTAAATACTCTAGATTTACTTTAGATTGCTTAGATGTAAAGCTTTTATATATTTAACTAGCAGTATAGTCCGGCGTTGCCCGGGGATGTAACAGTAAGAGATAGATCAAGTATCGACCATCATAAAGACTGAAAAATAAAATTGACAAAGATTATTGTTTAAGGTTGACGGACACGCATGTCTTAATTAATTTTTTTTTGTTTTTTGTTTTTTTTACGAATTGGTCAAACCCAAACTCAAACAAAAACATTCTGAATGTAAAAATAAAGAAAAAAGTGTGCAAGACAATAAGAAACACTACCTGCCAAAAAAAAGTGAAGTTTTGTCGAAATCGGTTGAAAAATGTAGGAAATATGATCCGATATATAAACGAACACACACACACACACACACGCACACACACACACACACGCACACACACACACACAACCTGGGTTTCATAAGTATAACTCGATATGAGTTGTCCCCCTTTCATTCTCGCGATGCTTCTTAATTGTGTTTTCAAATTGAGTTTGTGCAAAAACAATTGTGTTTTTCCAATTTTTGGCGCTGTCAGAACAACCGCAAGGTAATTTTATATAGTCCTGTGAAGTTTTGTTGAAATCGGTTGAAAAATGTAGGAAATCCGATCCAATATATAAACGTACAGACACACACACACACACACACATACACACTCTCTCACACACACACACACACACACACACACACAACCTGGGTTTTATAATAAGTATGATTTTATGATTATCAAATATTTCCTTACTGCTACAATTAGCAGATAATCTAACTTAGACTGATTTATGTAAATTATCTCGAATATTATGATGGTGGTTTAATTCTTTACTGGCGTATCTATGGTTATATAGATCTTTTGTGTATGGTTTGTAATAATCATGATTCCTTTCCAAGGCCACATTAAGAAAGTTGATTACTTTAGCATTGGTGGTAGTAATAATATTTAGCTCGTGATCTTTGAAAAATCTTGTCAGTTCCTTTTTCAGTCGGTCTATATTTCTTGGACCTTTTATGGAGGAGAATTATGCCGCCATCTCTATAGAGTCCGATGTCCTTAATGTCGAAAATAAATCTTAGTCGCAACAATAACAAAATTCCAGCTAATTCACATGCCTCTGCTGAGTCAAATGCTCCCATAGCAATATTAAATTCTGAGTTACTTCTTTCGACCCCAAGATAACCATAATAGAATAATATAGGCTTGTGTGCCTGAAATATGATGTTTATCACCCGATTGCTAATAGGACAGTAATTTTTTGCTAAATTTAGCAATATATATATATATATATATATGGGGGGGTGTCAGTATGTTCCTATTTATCTATCTCAGTCTTCTAATATCTATCTATCTTTATACGTTCCCTTTCGTGGGTTGAGCATATTTGGATGGGAATTTGTTGGCTCCTGATGATGATTGATGCTATGCTTTTTGCCATAAATTGGGCCCTCTGATAGACGGTAATGAATATATTTTATATATAATGTGTTAAAAATACCCTTTCTTCCTAGCGTGCGCTGACAGCCTAGGGGTAAGAGTCTCCGAAGGATGTCAAATCGGTCGAGTCTCTGACCCCGGCTTAAAACATCGCACACTGATGAGCGAAACAGCTTGTTTGTGGCTAACTACACACACACACACACACACACACACATATATATATATATATATATATAGATAGATAGATAGATAGATAGATAGATAGATGTGTGTGTAGATAGATGTGTGTGTGTGTGTGTGTGTGTGTGTGTGTGTGTGTGTGTGTGTGTGTGTGAATTTCTACCCATCTATCTCAGTCTGGTCGCCATCTGTTTATCTATGTCTGGGCACCTGTCGATCTCATTTTTTCATATTTCTGCTTAATCACATAAATCGATATTATTTAAATTTGTTATGTTTTCTGTCTGCCTGGATATCTACCTTTAAAAATACGCACATTTCCCTGGTCGTATTTGCGTCTGCGCCTTTCTGAGTGTGAATATCACTTTTAGTATTGATATATGTGGTTGTTAGTCTTTCGTAATGAATTTTATTATATGGATTTGTACGCACACAAAAAACAGACACAAACACATACATATGTTTGCAATTGTGTGAATTTCGTTTTCATATTAAGTGGCTTCTCGTTGTTTACAATAATAAGTACGTTTAAGCATTTATTTGTGCAGGGTTGTGAATATATATATATATATATATATATATATATATATATATATATATATATATATAGAGAGAGACTTAATGGCTGATGATATATATATATATATATAGAGAGTCTTAACGAAAAACGTCGCTGTATCAATTTTTATATTTTATATATATATATATATATATATATATATATATATATATATATATATGTGTGTGTGTGTGTGTGTATATATGTATATATACACACATATATGTGTGTGTATGTGCGTATGCAGTGTGCGCGCGTGTATTCACCTCTGTTTCTATATGTATGCCTGAATACCTGACTCCTTTCCTGGTGCATGTATGTGAATGCTGATATTTTATTATTCTGTATGTCATATGCATTTGCGTTGATGTTAACGCGACTTACATACATCATATATATATATATATGTGTGTGTGTGTGTGTGTGTGTGTGTGTGTGTGTGTGTGTAAAAATATATAGAAAATAGGAAAGAACTCGTTAGGTAAATGATCCAAAGTTCTTTAGTATTTTTGTTATTATTTTTAAAAAATAGTGCTCGATACAATTGGATTCATATTTGTAAATAAATAATTATATATATATATATATATATATATGTGTGTGTGTGTGTGTGTGTGTGTATGTATTTGATCTATATTTTATCCCAATTCACCATGAGTATATATATATATATATGTATTTGTATCTTTGTATATATATATATATATATATGACGTTTTATATATATATATATATATATATATATATATATATATATATATATATATATATATATATTGCTTCTTGAAAAAGGAAAGTGTCTTTTTAGCAGGTATCTCTGCTTTGGATACGTACTTGTGGAGAACTTAAATACGCTCATATATTGGGGGTGGCTTTTTTTGTTGTTGTTTTTACTGGAGAACAGACGTTCTCCGCCCACAAGACGAATGAAAAAAAATGGAGGAAAAAAAAGGTCAAAATAGTGCGGAGGAGTCGCGGAAGAAAACATGTGTGCGCCGCCAAACAACATCCATCGAACAAACAAACCTCGGAACTAAACAATAAAAAAAAAAAAGGCAAAAGTGAAAGGCTTCCACAAAGGCAAAAGACTAGCTCTTTTATTCGCAGCAGACTTTGGTGATGCTTAAACAAAGTAATGGGATGGCTATAGAAAAATCCATTTTGCAAAGCCAACTGCCAGTCAGGAAAACGAGGTGAGAAAAATGCCTGGGCGGAGCGGGGGAGGAAGAAATCTTGATGAAAAAAAAGAAAGTAAACGAAAGTAACACAAAGGGCGAAAAGAAGAATATTACGCGAAATAATCGAGTGCCAATCTTTTAGCGCGTTTGACACAAAGGCTGTTCAGTTCTTATGGCGAATAATTCTAAATAAGTTTCCTAATAAACAATTTACTAATAATGAGGTAACATGTCACTCAAGGAGCAGCAGGTGTTTTTTTATTTACTTATAATTCTATCTATTTCTTTTTTTTTTTTTTTCTATTTGTTTCTATTTGTTTAGACCTATGTATATGGTTTTACTCCCAAAATCTTGTTTTGTTTCTCTTGATTTGTATTCCATTTTACAATCTTATTATCTCTTTCACTCTTCTCTCCCTCTCTCTCTCTCGGTCTCTCTCTTTTTCACGCTATCTCTCTCACTATTTCGCTCACTCTCTCTAACTTCTATATTTACCCAAATTCCCTCTCTCCCCCTCTAACTTCTGTATTTATCACAGTTCTCTCTATCTCTCTCTCTAAGTCCTGTATCTACTCCAATTCTCTCTCTCTTACATCTATATTTAACAAATTCTCTGTCTCTATCTCCCTCTCTCTAACTTATGTATCTATTGCAATTCTCTCTCTCTCTCTCTCTCTCTCTCTCTCTCTCTCTCTCTCTCTCTCTCTCTAACTTCTGTATTAACCCCAATTCTTTCTGTCTCTCCCATCAGGATTTGCCCCAATTCTCTCTCTATCTCTATCTCTCTCTAACTTCTGTATTTACCCCAATTCTCTCTTTAACTTTTGTATTTAGCCAATTTTGTCTCTCTCTCTCTCTCTCTCTCTCTCTCTCTCTCTCTCTAACTTCTGTATTTATCCCAATTCTCTCTCTCTCTCAATCTCTCTCTCATTCTATCTGTATTTATCGCAATTCTCTCTTTCTCTCTCTCTCTCTCCTCCTCTCTCTCTAACTTCTGCATTTACCCCAATTCTCTCTCTCTCTCTCTTTGTAACTTCTGTATTTACCCCAATTGTCTCACTCTCTATAAAACTTTTGTATTTACCCCACTAACCTCTCTTTCTCTAACTTTAGTATTTACCCCAATTCTCTCTCTATCTCTCTATCACACTCTCTCTCTAAAACTTCTATATTCATCGCAATTCTCTCTCTCTCTCTTACCTAACTTCTGCATTTACTGTAATTCTCTCTCTCTCTCTCTCTCTCTCTCTCTCTCTCTCTCTCTCTCTCTAACTTCTGTATTTACCCAGATCCTCTCTATCTCTTTGTTCTTCTAACTTCAGAATTTACACCAATTCTCTCTGAATGTCTCTCTCTCTCTCACTGTCACAATTCTCTCTCTCTCTTTAACTTCCGTATTTATCCACATTCTATCTTTCTCTCACTCTCTCTATCTATCTCTCTATCTATATTGCTCTAACTTCTATATTCATCGCAGTTCTATATCTCTCTCTCTCTCTAACTTCTGCATTCAACCCAATTCTCTCTCTCTCTCTCTCTTTCTCTCTCTCTCTGTAACTTCTGTATTTACCCCAGTTGTCTCACACTCTATAAAATTTTTGTATTTACCCCACTTACCTCTCTTTCTCTAACTTCAGTATTTACCCGAATTCTCTCTATATCTCTATCACACTCTCTCTCTAAAACCTCTGTATTCATCGCAATTCTCTCTCTCCCACCTAACTTCTGCATTTACCGTAATTCTCTCTCCCTCTAACTTCTGTATTCACCCCAATTTTCTCTCTCTCTTTCTTTCTCTCTCTCTAACTTCTGTATTTACCTCAAATCTCTCTCTTCCTCTAACTTCTGTATTTATCCAAATTTTCTCTCTCTCTCTCTCTCTCTCTCTCTCTCTCTCTTTAACTGCTGTATTTATCTCAATTCTCTCTTTTTCTATCTCTCACTCTCACTCTCTCTATTTCTATCCTTCTCTCTCTCTCTCTCTTCTGTTGGCTCAAACAGTTTCAAATAGATAATGATTCAACGAACTTCCTTGTGTTTCAGCATGAAATTTTTTTTCTCATTTACACACCTACGTAAATCTGTGTCAGTGTTTGATTACCCACAGGTCGATTCTTCTTCTTTTGACCCCATTCCATCATGAGGGTGCGTGAAAGACAGGGTAAATACGCATATGATAGCATTGTCTGCTGTGCGCATTTGAGCAAAACAGAGAGGATGATACATACACATGATGCAGGCTATATACACAGGGGAAAAAACATGAACACTAGTATCTTCTTCGATATTCCGTGTCCCTTCAGTGCGTTGCCGGTCATGGCTCTCCCCAATTTCCTGCCGTTTATAACCCTAAACAGCTTTTATCTTTTCGCAATCAATCCCAAACCCTACTCTGCCATTCATTTACGCAACCTCGATTTACTCTGACCCTCAGTCTGTCCTGTGAGTATCAAATTTTCCAAGCCCTCTTTCTTCATTATATATCCCAGTGTCTCTTGCTGATGCCAAGGATAAGTGTCATTTTGCTGCCATTGTCTCTAAAACTTGGTCACATGTTCGGTCTATGGTATTCTGTAGAACCATTTCGGTTGCTTGTAGTCTCTTCATCATCTTTGAGGAAAGTGTGCAGCATTTACTAGCATGTAAGAAGACTGTTGCTACATAGCAGTTAAGTACTCATGTGTATACATATACACCGGGTGTAACAGCATAATTGTCCATCCCACAAAATGTTTAATATCTAAAAATCCAATAAACTAATTAAGTTTCTTTTCTCCAGATTTTCAGATAAGACGTTCAGCCATCTTCCCACCATTTGTTACAGGGATCACTGAAAAACCATTTGATTTATGCAACTAGAAAGAGAACAGGTTAAAATTGTTTTGTGTCAGCCTCACTATATCTTCCCAACTGAGCAATGGTGAGAGGAAAAAGATCATTCAGGCTTCCATTAACGGTACCAACATTCATACTCTGGCTTCCATCTTCAAAGTCCATTCAAGAACCATCAAGAGAACGGTGAATAAGTTTTAAAAAGAGGGAACAGTAGAGAGGAGAACTGGATCAACAAGAAGATGGATCATAATTTCAACTTAAAGCTAAAGAGATCAATTAGAAAAGATCCAACTCAATCCATAAGACGTTTGGCACGTGGAAAGGAATTTCAGCGATGACAGTCTAAAGAGCAGTGAACAAAGAATTGAAAATAAAATCGTACGTGAAACATGAGGAAACTTGCTACTCCAAGACAGAAAGTTAGAAACTTAAAGAAGGCGAATATCATCTTGTATGAGTTGAAAAATGATCCTGAAACAATATATATATATATATATATATATATATATATATATATACGAACTTTATTTCAATCCTTAACAATTATTAATTAATGAACATGCCATTTTCGTTTATGATCGATTTTATCCCGATTCTTCAGATAAGCTTAGAGTCTAATTATACATTCTTATTGCTCAAATTAGAGCCCAGTAGTGTTATAAAAACCTCAGCGAATTCCAGTAAGATATCTTTAATCATTTCTAAGATACAATAGGTTCAAAACTTAATGGATAATCTTGCTCTTTACACGATTTGGACAATTTTTCTGTTACACCTGGTATATATATATAATATATATATATATATATATATATATATATATATATATATAATACATAAAAAGGTTAAGGGTCAGAGTTGAATCAGACCAGGAAACAGAAGTATTAAATAGTGCTGAATACACGTATGAAATTAAATATATATATATATATATATATATATATATATATATATATATATATATATATTACATGAATCATTCATACAAAAGACAGATATTGAAGTTAATGATATAAATGGCAAACAAATTTAATAAATTACATTAACCCCGAACCTGTAGATGAATGTTATGATCCCTGTTTATAAATTCCAGTTGCATAAGGTATTTTTTTAGTTTTTACAAGCTTTCATCTGTGCATACAGACATCATCAGGTATGGAAATAGAATCAGGTATGCAACTGGAATTTGAATGATTCATGCAATATAAATTGAACTGCACCACATACTTGATATATCTATCTATCTATCTATATATATATATATATATATATATATATATATATATATATATATATATATATAATTTCCCCGAATAAGGCGATAATGCATATAAGGCGCCAGGGTTACTGAGAGTGGAAGTGAATGAGAAAATTTAGCGAGGATAAAGGACAATAAAAGAGCCGGTTTCAGGAAGACAAAAGATGGCGATTGACGTTGCATTTAAATTTTTTGTAGGCGGCAGCGAAGCAAGAAACCGGAAGTGACTTCCACAGGAGTGAAGTGTGAGAAAGGAAACTATTAGGATAGAACTTACGGTTACATTAAATTATTTCAACAATAAAACGATGAGACATTTTTGACAATCTGGTAGTACGCTTAAATGTATTAAATATAAAAATAAATTATATGAAGTGGGTGTAATAATGTTAGTTTTTTTTAAAGATGGGGGGGAATAAAAATGTAAGCACAGCTGGTAGGAAATTTTCCCGATTAAAACAAGAGATGAAAAATTGTAAGGATCAAAAGGCAAAAAAAAAAAAAAACTATTACCTTCGTTGTTAGGATAGAGAGAAAAAAAAAAGTCAAAGCAAATCGAGTTTAAATTAAAAAAAAAAAAAAAAAAAAAAAATTCATCAACAAACCCGATAAATAAATTGTGCCTTATTAATGGTTACTTTGATAGAAAGATTATGAAAAAGGAAAAAACAAACTCGAACAACAAAAATAGCGGGAAACTAGTGACTCTTATGGCGTTGAGTAGATCAGAGTTCGACTTATTAAGATAGGCACTGATAAAGAAAAAAGAAACAAAAAACTCAGAATGATAAGAAAAGAGAAGTTAATGAAAATATAAGATATTAAAAGATTTAAGTGTCTTGTGATTGAAACAGTTACCTATTTGCCACCCAAGCCGGGAATTCGAATGTTGATTTTCCTGGCTTAATTTCTAGAAACGGCAATTATCATAATTTACATTATTTAAAGTCCGACTAATCTCCTCATTTTTATTGCCATTATTATTAATATGCCCTCCGTGTTTTCGGTTTTACGGGTGTATCAGCAAAATTGCCCAAATCCTGTAAAAGTAAAATTGTCCATTTGTTAGATTAAGTTTGAATCTTTGTATCGTAGAAATGATTAAAGATATTTTACTGGAATTCTCCGAGGTTTTTATAACATTATTGAATTCCACTTTTAGCAATAAGAATATATAATTAATTGTACTTAATCCGAGGTAGGAAGGAAGAAAGAAAGTAAGAAGATAATATGTTAGATTTAGTATATACCACTAATAAAATGATCCTTCGTGGTAAATTTGATAATCGTCTGTTTAGTACGATTTTCCTTGGTCAGTGCTTAAGCCGGGGTAAAAGACGATTTTACAAGTTAGACGTGCTTCTCCACTTGCAAAATTGGCGCAAAGATAACCGTCTGACCTAATTTACCCTCCCCCCCATTTGTCTATGCTTAATAAGCGTGAAGGACGAGAGAAAAAAATATCAAAAATTAAAAATAAAAAGGTTTTTGAAAATAGAGGTTTTCATGTAATTGATAGTTTGGGAGATTGATTTTTAATCGGTTGGTTACACAAGGCCCTTTAGAAATAATAAAACACTGAGGTTAAAAAACAAACAAAAAAAGGGGGTTGTTCAAACGAAACAAACATTAAAATGGAGAAGATAGCGATAGAGGTGGTGGGGACAAAAAAAGGAGCAAAATAAAACCTAGAAATGGTGCAGTCAGAAATGGTACAATTCAAAGGACAGATCTTCGTCGAATTTGGCGGGAAAGAAGTATGAATGAAAAAGAGAGAAAAAGACATACTGGCAAAAAAAAAAGGAGGGAGGGAGGCTTAGCAAAAAGACAAAAAAAAAGAGAGAGAGAGATA